CTCATGGCAGAAGGGAGAGTATGAGAATTTTGTTTGACAAGATGTACATCGCGTTTGCTCATGAGCCATTGGCTAAAGAAAGTGACAGGCCCTGCCAACGTTTTCAGCCATTTTTCCCAGGCTGCAGCTTTCACAGGTGCCCTGGGGTGGGCAGCAGGTGGATGTCTAGCTGAGGTCTCTGACCCTTGGGGGAGACTTTAGGGGAGGCCCTAACGTTGATGCTACCCTTGCTGTCCACAAAAGGACTCTAGGGCCTCACCTCTAACAAAGTGCTTCCAGTATCAACCACCTGGACTTCCATCCTTCTAATGCCCAGTGTATTGGTCAGCTCGGGCTGCCCTAACACAGTCCCATGGCTGGGGGACTTCACATTTATTTTCTCATAGTTCTGGAAGCTAGAAGTCCAAAAACCAAAGTGTCGGTGGAGTTGGTTTCTGGTGAGGACTCTTCCCGACTTGTAAATAGCCACCTTGCCGTGTCCTTACATGGCCTTCCCTCTGGTGTCACTTCCTCTTTTGTTTTGTTTTGTTTTGTTTTGTTTGTTCATCCTCACCCGAGGATATTTTTCTGTTGATCTTTTTGAGAGAGTGGAAGAGAGAGGGAAAGACAGAAACATGATGTGAGGGAAACACATCAATTAGTTGCCTCCCACAGGCATCCTGACCAGGGTTTGGGCTGGGGAGGAGCCTACAACCAAGGTACTTGTCCTTGACCGGAATCGAACCTGGGACCCTTTGGTCTGCAGGCCAACGCTCTATCCACTGAGCCAAACTGGCTAGGGCTGGTGTCACTTTCTCTTAATAAGGACACTAGTCCTATTGGATTAGAATGCATCCTTAGGACCTCACGTAAACCTCAAATACCCACTTAAAGGCCCCATATCCAAATACATAGCAGGTTAGAGCTTCAACCCATGGATTTTGGAGGATACAATTCGGTCCATTAACATCCAGGATCCCTGGGATAAGGCAGTGTTTGCTATACATACTGTAGTGTTCTCAGCACGCCTGCAAGGAAATTATCAGCAGCATCATTTCCACATTACAGATAAGGAAGATGAAGTAACTTCTCAGTCAGTGGAGGACCCTGGACTGGAACTGTTGCTTTGGTTCCAAATCACATGTTCTTCGAACTGCAGCACAGAATGTGGGCCTCATAAGCATGGGAAATGAAATGCTGACTTAATAGCTGTAAGGGTCATGTAACATATGGAATATTTTTTGTAAAATGACGTTAAAGTACAAAAAGAGATCACAAAAATATATGTTCTCTGTGGGAACAACCATGTAAAAACTATAAATAAAAAAAACTATGGATAAAAAAATCCAATAGGATGGCTCAGTGGTTGAGCGTCGAGCTATGAACTATGAACCAGGTCACGGTTCGATTCCCTGTCAGGGCACATGCCCAGGTTGTGGGCTCGATCCCCAGTGTGGGGCGTGTAGGAGGCAGCCAGTCAATGATTCTCTCTCATCATTGATGTTTCCATCTCTCCCTCTCCCTTCCTCCCTGAAATCAATAAATATAAATATTACAGTAAAAAACAAAAACTATGGGTAAAATTTAAAGGAACCGTCCATATCTCCCTCTCCCTTCCTCCCTGAAATCAATAAATATAAATATTACAGTAAAAAACAAAAACTATGGGTAAAATTTGAAAAGGAACCGAAAAAAAATGGAGTACAGGGTGGGGCAAAGTAGGTTTATAGTTGTTCATACGGAAAATAATACAATCATTCATAAATAGTAATACAAGAATATGCTCTGCTTCATGTTCTCATAACTGTAAACCTACTTTTGTCCCACCCTGTACTTGGTCTTCAGGGTTGCAGGGTTTTCTCCCTCTCTCTCTCTCTCTTAACTTAAGAAATGTACTTTCCAATAAGAGAATTTTAGCTCTAGCAAGCAAGACAAGTTAGAAGTCAGTGGAAATGGAGAATCATGTGTCCGTTTGTCACTAGCTTTTTGGGATCCCAAACACCATAGTGCTTGATGGGCTCCTTCCCTCTGAAACCGCCTTCAGCCCCCAGCTTCCCTGACTGGACAGCTGCTCTACTCGTTTGTAGCCATAGTTGTGCTCGAAGACTCCGAGGTGAAAATGCTGTTTTCAAGTACATTTCACATTACTAAAGCGAATATATGGTTTTTATTTTTTTATTGATTTCAGAGAGGAAAGGAGAGGGAGCGAGAGATAGAAACATCAATGATGAGAGAGAATCATTGATTGGCTGCCTCCTGCACGCCCCACGCCTCCTGCAGGTTGGACCGAGCCTACAACCCAGGCATGTGCCCTTGACCGGGAATCGAACCATGACCTCCTGGTTCATAGGTCGACACTCAACCACTGAGCCACGCCAGTCGGATTTTTAAAAACTTTAAAAAATCTATTGATTTTTAGAGAGAGAGAGAAGGGAGAGAAATATCAATTTGTTGTTTCCCTTATTTATACATTCATTGGTTAATTGTTGTATATACCCTGGTGAGGGATCGAACCCACAACCTTGGCGTATCGGGACGATGCCCTAAACAACTGAGCTATTTGGCCAGAGCCTATATGATTTTCTTACCTGAGAACCTTCCACTTTTCTTTTATTCTGGAACAGTCGTCTGTCTCTTACAATCGGGTCTATTTTACAAACAGGTTCTGATATGAAGTGTGCTGTGGTGCGATGCGTCCTCTTGGTCAACAAAGGTGTTTCTCGGGGTCGCTCACATCCAGCTTACCTGTCAGAATGAGTATTTTTCTTCCAGGCCCAGAAGTTGTTCCTCAGTAAGACCTCTTTATTTTAGGAGTTAATAGATTTAGATTGTAAAAACAGATGGAAACAAACTAAATGAGCCCAGACATCTTATCAGCCCAGTCAGGAGAAATAGGATTAATTCCCAAATCCAATAGGAGAAAATCCACATGTTTAACAAAGAAAAATGAGCCATCAATTCTTAGCTAAAGGAAGCTCCCTATAAAAACATATTCCAGGCCTGGCCGGTGTGGCTCAGTTAGTTGGAGCAGCATCCTGTACACCAGAATGTCGAGGTTTCGATTGCAGTCAGGGCACATAGCCAGGCTGCAGGTTCACTCCCCAGGCGGGGCACGTGGAGGAGGCATGATCTTAGGTGAAGATTAAAAAAAAACCCGCAGGGTGTCCCCCAAAAATGTATACACATTTTGAATGATTATCAAGACAGTGTTTATGAAAATACATTTCATTTTCAACATGTAATAGAATCTACAGACATTGTGTGTACATTTTGGGGGGACACAGAATGTTGGCCTCACAGGACTCCTTTCATAGTAAGCAAGCTATTTTATATATTCAATTTTACTAAAAGTCCGAGCGGTTGGGTCTCTGAAGCTGGCTTGTAACCTGAATTTTAGCTCGCAACTCAAAGCAAAAAATCGGCCGAGAGACGGCTCGTATCTCAAAACACTCGTTTGTTGGGACTCTCGTAAGTCAAGGCCCCACTGTACTCTGTTCCAGCCCATTATTGCCAGATCCGTGTGGCCAAGATGTTCTGATTTTCCCCTAGAAGCTCCTAAGTCTGAATTTTTAATATTGTCAATTCAATCAAAATTATAAAGTCACTGTGCAGAATAAATAGTCCCCAGTCTGTAGCTGTTCCATTTTATTTATTTATTTGTTTATTTTCCCTCTAAGGACATGTTTAGAGAGAGGAAGGTACACACACACACACACACACACACACACACACACACACATCGATGAGAGAGAGAAACATCGATTGGTTGCCTTCCACCCCGACCGGTAATTAAACCTGCAACCCAGCAATGTGCCCTGAGCAGGAATCGAACCAGCGACTTTTGGGTGCACAGGACAACGCTCAGCCCACGGAGCCGCTCCAGCCGGGCCCATTTTATTTGTTACTGTATCTGTATTTCTGGGTGCTGGATACTGCAGGCACCCAGCTTATTTCTGTCTTAAATTTCACATTTGTCACATTTCAGGTGTACTTCCTCGCTTCTGGGGTTTGATGTATGAACCCATAGCCCCCTGATTCTCCACCTCCTAACGGCGACAACTATCTATATACATAAAAGCCAAAGCGACCATTGCAACTGGGAGACTGGTTGGTATGATGACGCACTGACCGCTAGGGGGCAGACATTCAACACAGGAGCTTCCCCCTGGCGGTCAGTGCACTCCCACAGTCAACCTCCCGCGGTCCATCACCCAGTCAGCCGGTCCCGATATGCTCCGATCAGCCCCAATCGCCCCAATCGCCGGCCAGGCCAAGGGACCCCACCTGTGCACAAATTCGTGCACCAGGCCTCTAGTGTTAACATATTATTTTTTCAGCTCTATCTTCATACACTAAAGATTATTTTTTAAAATATGTTTTTATTGATTACAGAGAGGAAGGGAAAGGGTTAGAGAGATAGAAACATCAGTGATGAGGGAATATCATTGATCGGCTGCCTCCTGCACGCCCCACACTGGGGATTAAGCCCGCAACCTGGTATGTGCCCTGACCAGGAACCGGTGCAACAAATTCGTGCACCAGGCCTCTAGTATTAACATATTATTTTTTTCAGCTCTATCTTCATACACTAAAGATTATTTTTTAAAATATGTTTTTATTGATTACAGAGAGGAAGGGAAAGGGTTAGAGAGATAGAAACATCAGTGATGAGGGAATATCATTGATCGGCTGCCTCCTGCACGCCCCACACTGGGGATTAAGCCCGCAACCTGGTATGTGCCCTGACCAGGAACCGAACCGTTACCTTCTGGTTCATAGGTCAACGCTCAACTATTGAGCCACGCTGTCCGGGCAAGACTACTTTTACTTATTCTGCAACTATATAGAAACAGCTTTGTGTGCTATGTTATTTTCTTTACCTTGACTCGGGTAAAGTCAGAGTAAAATTATAAA